TAAGCGACTCGTCCTAAGGATTAAGACGGCCGACGGACGGATTTCGGTCGACTCGATGCGAGTAGAGCGTACATACATAGTCGATAGTTGCTGCAATTGATTCGAAGGGTTTCCGAGCGGTTGCCGATGGAACGTTCTCTATTTTCCGATATTTTTCTAGGGGATGAGAAATATTGACGGTCGCTCGTTATTTCGGTTCGTTTCCGTTAAACGTCGCCCGATCCGCGGCGTAAAGCGAGGGCGCAAAGGGCACGCCGCGGAACCGCATTTGAACAATTTGCAATTTCCGCCGCGGAGCGAAACCATCGGCCGTAATTCGCGAAGAATTCGTTCGATTGAAACGCGAGGCGATGGTTACCGCTGGCAATTAAATAGGAGGTAACTCGATTCCTTGTTAGCGAATAAACGCTTGTCGGATAGTTAACTTTTAGGGGGTTGTACTTGTGGTAAACAATACGAGTGAACGTTTTTGAAAGCGAGAATACTGCAAGATGAACTCTCTTGGATATTTCTTACGAAACTTCGAAGTAGAGTGAACATCGAATAATTGCGACATTCAACGGAAAGTTTTAGGATGGCGGGCATGGAAAGAGATTCAAGTGAAAAAATTTATTTTCAAAACCATATTGAATACTCGATGCTTTTGAGGTGTCGATAATAAAAGAAAGCCGAAGCCAGTCAGTTTGACTGGTAGTTCAAGTGTTAAATTAAAAATGAAACTTTCTTATTTTTGACTTTTTTATGATTTTCTGATTAAAATGACACGAAACATGATAGAATTACGGTCATAATTGCTTGTATAATAAGAGATTGAGATTTCGGATATAGGAAAGGACTGCGAATAGAAAAGAAAGAAACGAAATCGTCGAGTTCGACAATAGTTGCATCTTGCACCCTTGAACTGTGACCGGTCGTCGGTCAGCGATATAATGGAGATAGCAATGGTGCAATTATCCAATGTTCACTGCATACCAAAGAGCGTTTCTACTTTTATCGTAGGATATTTCATCGTCGACGAATACCGGTGAATTCGCATGGAACATGTGAAATAACAGAAAAACAGTCGAACGCTTCGCCAGCGATATCGCGTTCTCGGTACTCGTTTTCGCCGGAGAAACGTGTTACACGGAGAACACGAACTCTAGCCAGATAAGAGGCTTGTCGGCACGATATTGCGCGTGTACACACACTATTTGGAAAAAAAGAATTCCTTGCGGGAGTTTCGAGAGTTTTCTGTTAGAATCTGCCGCTTCTTTACGAGCCTTCATTTCCGATTGTACTTGACAAAAAGAGTCGCGACACTTCGTCGACTTTCCTCGATATTTGTATTTAAACGATTAAGATATACATAAAAGCTTGTTCTTTGGATGGTACTAAGCTCAATGAACGTTTCATGGAAGAAATTGGAGGTACATTAATATTCCCGAACGATGTATAAAACGGTCGAGGGACGATAGATATATATATGTATACATATAAATGCGTTTGTGTAACCAAGAAGCGACGATTTAGGATAAATTTTTGCTATACGTGTTAGAGAGGATTAGAAAAGTGAAAATGGTTGGTTTTCTTTCAATCTTAACGGGAAGATTCGAGAATTCTCCAAATGTCTCTTGTCGCAGATTGAAACTCAACAGCGACACCACTGATAACAGATGGTCGTCAGTGAATTATTTTTTGTTGCTAATAGCTGTTCAAGGTTTGAGTGAAATAATAAGTTGTTTTTCGTAAAGTACTTGCTAAGTGAGTGGAAAAATAATTGTAGTTCACATTACCTATGCTTGAGCTTCTTGAACTTTGAAAATTTGCTTTCTTGTATATGCTTTTACTTTTGCTGTTTATTGTTGTTTATTTGCGGCTACGTTAATGAAGATGGAAATGGTAGATGCAGGATACTTTATTGTGTGAGCATAGAATGTAACGTACAGCAAAAGAAATGACAGCGTATTTCGAGCTCAGCTATACGATTTCAATCGTTCGAAGAACTGCAATTATTTTTGCACTGAACATTAGACTTTCGTTGAAATTTCTATGTGTAAATGAAATTATCGAATGCTCGCGAGCGTGCGAAGACATTCGGTAACTTCATAGAATTGCTGGGTAGATCGCGAAGAGTTTATTAACAATAAATAGTAAGAATTACAAGAGAAACGAGCGAAAACGCGTCACAGCCAACCGAATTTAAAATGAATTTTTACAAACGCACGTTCGTAAGCCGGCAACAAGCGGAAAGTGGAAACAATCGAATCGAATAGCTTCCGACTGCTAACTCTGATTCCCTTCGTTCCAAGGAAGACGAATCCTTTTTCGGGAAATACTCTTCGCCGTGTAGACGATACGCCACGGAACGATTCACCGAGGAAAAACTGTTTTCCCACGCCGAGCCGGACGCTTCCTCGGAGGATCGGTGGATCGGGAACTGTGGTGATTGACGGGTAAAAAGAGAAACAAAAGAAGACACGAATATTCGTGTCTCGAGCGTGAACAATTGAGGAGTTCCTGTGGACAGCGTTGTAAGTGCCATAACAAAAAATATTTTGTATCGTCCTGTAGTGTACAATTTAAGTACAATGTTTCTTTTCTATAATATCGCAAAATGACATCATTATGATACAATGTTCAACGTAATATTAGGTAACTTTCTTCATCCTGGCGAATATATCAGCACTTGCAACCCTTTTCACAAATACTCTTCGATTCGTCACGGTTTAACCCTTGGATTACCGAATCTTTCGTTTCCATTTGGCACAAGGCGCAGTTTAAACGAACAACCAGGCGTAAATTGTAACGAAACGCTCAAACGATAATCTCCACCTGCGAATCGAGTAACCGATTTATTTCATGAAACAGATCCGAAACTATCGTTGTCCCGTGAGTAGTCCAAGGGTTAAAGGGTTAAAGGATCACGGAGACAAGCGAAGCGACACATGGAAATTCGAAACGCGGAGAGGGAAAAAGAAATTAGCGAGGAGAAACGAACTATTAAACATGTGTACCGCTAAACATAATCTATACATATTTAAAACTATTGAACGCTAAAGCCGTATTCATTACCGCACCAGAAACGGAATACATAAGCTAAACTAAATGAATGAATAATCGATTAACCGAATATTAAAGATAGCCTGTAATCGATAGTTTTGTAGTTTATAACTTCGAGCAGTAATTATAGGGGCGATTCAGAGGTAGTCTATTAGAGATTAGGGTCGCGATCGAGATCGTTTTCTCTCGGAACTCCGATGAAAGGGAAGCTGACCGCTAATTGTCTCGAGAGTGACCTATTGAACTTAACGAAGCCCGAACGCGCGTTACGGTGACGCGGACGTGAAACGGAGGACGGTGGGTAGAGGGGACGAGGTCCGACGCTACGAGCGATCTCGGAACACGATCACGGGAATCACGGCAATGAGACAGGTTCAATAACAAATTCGCACGAATCTCTTTCTTCTCTACCTGTCCCCTTATTCTTCCCTTGATATATTTTAACGAAGGATTCTCTTATTGTCCACCGTTACACCAGAAGTCGTTCGACGCCAAGTCGGAGTTGTTGACAAACTATTAT